TGGCCCAGGATTGGACATTGTTTTGTTTTGCTGTGCATGGGGTCGCTATGAGTCAGTTTTGACTCAGTGGCACCTAACAACAACAACAAAGTACTATCAGGTCGGTTCAACTGATAGTGACGCTTACAAGTCTTTGTGGGAGCAAAACTCATCTTTCTCCCACGGAACAACTGGAAGTTTCGAACTGCTGACCTTGAGGTTAGCAGCCCAACTCATAACCACTATGCTACCAGAACTCCTGGTATATGTATGTACACATAAATACACATAGGTATTTATGTATGTGTATGTATGTTGTTGTGTTAAGTGCCGTGGAGTTGGTTTCGACTCATAGTGACCCTGCACAGGGTTTCCGAGGCTGTAAATCTTTATGGGAGCAGAATGCCTCATCTTTCTCCCGCGGAACCACTGGTAGTTTCGAAGTGCTGACCTTGCGGTTCACAGCCCGATTCGTAAGCACTACGCTACCAGAGCTCCGTGTGTGTGTGTGTGTGTGTGTGTGTGTGTATGTATGTATGTATAGGAAAAGATAGGTTTGTGTAGGAAGGAACTTCAGAAAGTTTATGGGAAAACAGAATGAAAAGATAATGGGTTTATAAGAAGTAGTTGATGAGTTTGCACTACCAACCTTGTGGCAGATAGTCCAGTACTTATTCAGTAGTGCTACACTAGGACTCTGTGGTATATCTGTATAAGTACATGTTTCTTTGTGCTTTAATGGGGCAAAGGTACAGATAATTCCTAGACATTACTAAATAACACGTGGGATTGGCTTACTGGTTTGAAGGCTTAGGATCATAGTTTTGTGGTATACCTTGGTTAATTTAGAACTGAAACCACTCCCTGAGGTCACCTTTCACCTAAGTAGCAGATTAGCTCATAAAACAAACAATAGCACCTGTGAGTACTATGCTGCTTTAACCAATCATCTATATAACCAAATCATCTATGTCAACATTTATTTTAAAGCAAAGATGAGAAAGGGGGCACCTAGGTGGTGTAGAGAAAGTTGTTGTTGCGAAGTGCTGTTGAATCGGTTCTGACCCATAGCGACCCTGTATAGGTTTCCGAGGAGCCGCTGGTAAGCTTGAACCGCCTGCCGGCCTTGCATTTCAAACGGCTTTGCAGTCAGTCTGGTGCATTAATTCACAGCGTCACACCAGAACTCCGGATGGAAATGAGAATGCTGGTTGTTTGTGAAAAATATATTGACTGTAACTTAACAATAATGTATGTTGTTAAGTCGATTGCAACCCTGTATAGGGTTTCCGAGGAGTGGCTGGTGAGCTTGCATTTCAAACCGACTTTGCAATCCAGTGCATTGACCCACAGTGCCACACCAGGACTCCAAACAATATGTGTAGAATTTATGAAATGGGAACCTAATTTTCTGTGTAAACTTTCATCAAGCACAACGGCATTTAAAAAAATTTGAAAGATTTATATGACAGTAGGAGTGTAAGCAGATGTTGCACGTTTTAGTCAGGGAAGTGATAGAAATTGAGGTTTAAAAATGAGGCTTAAAATTGAGGTTTAAAAAAAAAATTATTAGACAATAGAAACCAAAAAATGAAGCATTATATACTGTAAAAATTTTACCTGAATATGTAAATGAACTCATTTATCTTATATAAGGCCAAATTCTTTACTCTGGAGCATTGTTGTTGTCATTAAGTGTCGTTGACTTGCTTCTGACTCATAGTGAGCCAATATAGGGTCTTCCAGGAGTGGCTGGTGAGTTTAAATTGACCTTGTGGTCCAGTGTTTATCCTACAGTGCCCACCAGGACTCTACTTTGGATCATGAACATGCTTATTAGAACATAAATGAGCTAATTAGGATTCCCAGTTGCCTTTATTGAATAAACCCTGGTGGCTTAGTGGTTAAATGTTCTGCTAACTGAAAAGTTGGCAGTTTGAACTCACCATCTAGTTCTTCAGAAGAAAGATTTGGCAGCCTGCTTCTGTGAAGATATACAGCCTTGGAAAATCCCACGGGGCGGTTTTACTCTGCCTATTGGGTTGCTGTGAGTTGGAATTCACTTGCTGGCAATGGGCTTATATGGAGTCCTGGTAGCACAGCAGCTAATGCTCTGCTGCTCAATGAAAGTTTGGAAGTTAGAACTATCCAGTGGCTACTGGGGTGGGGACTAAGACCTGGGAATCTGCTCCTAAAATGACAGCCTAAAAAATAAAAAACACTGATAGGGGCAGGTTTACTCTCTCACATAAAGTTAAAGTACACAATAACAGCATAATGTATATATAGTCTACTGTCTTGTCTTTTTTTATAGTTGATCCTTGAACTGTGGGGGTTTGAACTGTGGGGGTCCACTTGTATGTGGATTAAAAAAAAAAGTCTTGTGACCCTAATCTCCACATAAGCAGTTTATTTTTCTAGTAAATTATTTGTTATTACAGTAAAAAGTCATCTCATATGGTTCTCTTGTATTTTTCATGGTGTTCATTGCAAGATGTAAACCTAGAATGACACCATGGAACACAGATGAAATGCTGGTAGTGATTCTTGAATTGCTCCCAAGAGGCAGAGAAAAGTCATGACATTACTAACTTGTTTGAGCTGTACCATAAATTGAGGTCTGCAGCTATGATTCATTTCAAGATAAATGAATTCAATGTTAATTGGTAAGGTTCATTGTCAACAGTAGGTAGGCTTTTGGTAAAGTTTTCTGAGAGTCAAAGTTACAGGAAGGTTTTCTATTGGATATCAGCACTTGTAGCCCCCCCCCCCCCCATGTTGTTCAAGAAGAGTCAGCTGTGTTTTTTTAAAATTGTGGTGAATATATAGGTAACATTTTTTATTTTAACAGTCTTCATATGTACAGTTCAGTGACATTAGATGTTTATTACTCATAGTCATCATTCTTTAGCAGCTTTTATTTATTTAAAGTGAAGCCAGTGATTTGTGGAACTCCTGACACTGTGGCTTTTAGACACCCTTCAGGCCTGATGGAACAGCACCATCTGGGAGATCACAATATGCATTTAGTACTTAAAATCCCCATGTGACATATGGGTAGCATTTGCTCAGGGATTAAGCTCAGAAGATAGGAAGGCATAGGAAAGAAGTTCCAGGTGAATCTTTGAAGAGGTTTAGTCAGGGAAGTGGTTTTATATTTGTGCTGTAGATAGTTTGGGTACTGAGAGTTTCAGAAGATTGGAGGCTTGAACCAAGGTTGTGGCAGCTTGAATGGAGATGATCATCTGTATTGCAGAAATTATTGTAATTGTTAAATGCTGTCAAGTCAGTTCCAATCTATAGCAGCCCTGTGTATGATTTCGAAGGAGTGGTTGGCTGGTGTGTTTGAACTGCTCACCTTGTGGTTAGCAGTCCAGTGTTTATCATACAGTGCCACAATGGCGCACTCCATTACAGAGACTTGTTTTTTTTTTTTTTTTAATGTTTTGTGAATTATGTGATAGTTTGCATGGGAGAACATTAGTTTTACATTCATCCTATAGTATATCATTTCATTGCCTTGGTTACAGTCCCCTCCATGCATCATCACCCAACCAAAGGGTATACACTACAAGCCTGGCCCCTGGTTATCAGCGCACAGCCCCTCTCCCTCTCTGTGTCTGAAGTCCCCAGCTGTTCCATCTCTCCACGTCATCGTCTATGCCTCCATCTCAGGCATCACTGCTTCTCTGGGTAGAGTCCCGCTCTCCACTCTTCTCCTTTGATGGTCCCAGGGACCTCCACTCCTAGACTGAAAAGTTAAATCACTCCCCTCTACATTTACATTACCTTTACATTTCTAACCCTCACAATCTGTCCTGATAACAATTATTCACCCTATCCACATTTCATTTCTTCAGCCTCACCTAGACAGATTGGATACTACTCAGTGGAGCTTCTATCTTCCTCCACACCCTCTGGATCTAGGTTCCTTCTTGAAAGCTTGTAACCAGTCAATTCTTGCCTTTGTAGCCCCTCCATTTTGGGTACCAATGTCCAAGTTGCCCATCCCTGTCCTCTCTATGTGTGGAGGGGGTGGGAATGATCCTTGCTGTAAAGATTTGTTCCCTCTTTTTAGCTACTGCGTCCATAGTTGTAGGTCAAGTTCATCAACAGAGACTTATCGGTTTCTGACCCATAGCGATCCTGTGTAAGGTTTCCAAGGAGCAGCTAATGAGCTTGAACTACCGACCTTGTGGTTCAAACGACTTTGTGCATTAGCCCAAGTGGTACACCAGGACTCCTAGTATATATTACTGATTGAATGTTTGCCTCCTTTTTTTATGTTAGGGCTCTTAGGTGTTCACTGTGAGCATCTTTGAATTTCAGGCTTTCCTGAATTCACTTTATTTCCTTACAGTAGATTCCCAAAAGTTGGATTAATTTTTATGCTAAATTTTGCTCTAGGTGGTTTGATGTGGAAATACAAAAGATACAGTTCTTACTCCTTTAAGGGACCTTCCAGTCTTATGGGAAGGACAGAAGTTTGAGTGCTATAAATATAAAGCAGGAGAATACGGTAGTGAGTTTCTGTTCAAAATATGAACCTTAAATTCTAGAT